TCCCATCAATCTTGGAATGAAGGTTCTTCAACTCATAACCAACATGCTTCTCACTTCTAGTCTGAGACTCCAAGATTTGTTTTAGTAAGGCATCAGTGTTGCTCACTTGAGGGGCAGAGGAAACATGAGTGGGGTTTTGCTGAGGCTGATAACCACTTTGTTGGTTGTTGGGATAGGATTTCTGTTGGTAGTTGTTGTAATGGAAGTTGGACTCCTTTTTGTACCAGCTACCATTGTTGTTGATGAAGCACAACTCTTCTTGACCTTCCAATCCCTCAACCTCATTCACTTTAGGTGGATTTTCCTGCTTGGAGTTACCAACAGATTTCAGCTGCTCTTGGGTGGATTTGTCAGCAATGAGTAGGGCGATCTTGTCTTCCAAAGATTTGATCTCTTTCCTTGTCTGCTTGTCATCACCTCTACTACCTCTGTCATGATCTGCACTGTAGACGGCATCACTCTTAACCATGTTGTCTACCAGCTCCTCTGCATCTTCCTCAGACCTTCCCAAGAAGAACCCATTGCTAGCAGTATCCAATCTTGCTTTATACTTTGGAAGAGCACCCCTGTAGAATGTGCTCAGCAAACTCTCTTTGGAGAAACCATGGTGGGGGCATTGTGCTTGATAGCTCTTGAATCTCTCCCATGCTTCACTGAATCCTTCCAAGTTCTTCTGTTGAAAGCTGGATATCTCATTCCTCAGCTTAGCAGTTCTTGAAGAAGAGAAGAATTTCTCCAAGAATGCNTCTTTGGAGAAACCATGGTGGGGGCATTGTGCTTGATAGCTCTTGAATCTCTCCCATGCTTCACTGAATCCTTCCAAGTTCTTCTGTTGAAAGCTGGATATCTCATTCCTCAGCTTAGCAGTTCTTGAAGAAGAGAAGAATTTCTCCAAGAATGCTCTCTTGCACTCATCCCAGGTGGTGATAGAATCACTTGGTAGAGCCTTCTCCCACTGACGTGCCTTGTCTCCTAAAGAGAAAGGGAATAGCTTGAGCTTGAAGGCATCCTCGGACACACCATTGGTCTTTGACAAGCCACAGTAGCTGTCAAACTTGTCCAAATGGTCAAATGGGTCTTCTACAGGTAACCCATAATACTTGTTGTTCTCGATCACGTTGAGGAGTCCTGCTTTGACCTCAAAGTTGTTGGCTTCCACAGCTGGCGCACGGATACCCAACCTATTGCCATGAAGGTTGGGGCGGTCATGAGTGCCAATAGGGCGAGCTGGGCGGGCTGGGTGAGCTGGTGGGTCTTGCCCGTTGACGTTTACCGGTGGCTCCATGTCAGTATCCAACCTCTGTTGCTGAGCTTCTTGCTCTGCTTGTCTTCTCTGTCTTGCAATCTCTCTTTCAAACGCTCTGATATCTGGAACTCTTGGAACAAGGTTTGTTGTGCCCTTGCTCCTCAAGTTCATACACCTGAAATCCAAAGAGAGATGAAGATAAAGAATCAGTAACAAAATAAAAGNTTTGACTTTGGGTGATCAAGTTTCGATCTAAGGATGGCAAGCGATCAATTAAACTGTCTACCTTAGGCCTAGATACGATTCTAAACAAGCTCTATGTCTAGATGAATGTTCATTTACTACCATAACTCAAGCATCAAATGTCTTTGGTTGAATATTATGAAAGTAATCATTAGGAATAGATCTATTAGCCATCTTAACATCTTTAACAACAAGTGTCCCTGGTAAAGACTGTTAAAAGCTTAAGAGAGTTGACTCAGACATTTCATCGAACACTTTGTGAGTGGGAAATGTCTAGAGATCAACCTTTGAGTGATCAATTCAAAAGAGGCATTATGGTTACTCTAATAAGCAAGGAATAAGAGAAGTCTAACACTAAAACATCCCAAATCTAACCTAATCACCCATAATCTTCCTAACCCATGAATTCAAAAGGTGATTACTCACTAATCTCCATGATTCCTCTTAAACCCATATTGGATTTCAGATTAATCATGTAGAGAAATAGACAAGAAATCAATAAGAACACAAGATGAAAGCAATGAAATCTCAATCCAAAAGAAGTTTTCTTCAAGAACAAAAGATAATCTGCCTCTGGAGGCTTACAACGTAGTTTTAATTAGGTTTCTCCAACTCAGAATAAAGAAAACGAAATTGCAAAAAGGTCCCTGAAACTCAAGTTTTCGTTATACATAACACGCGCAGCGACCTGGTCGTGTCGCTCCCAAAGGTCGCTCCCAAGGCTGATATAGCGAGAAGGTGCGAACGGCCATCAAGTGTCGCTCCCACATGTCGCTCTGAATGCTGGAGCGACTTGGCGTCTCGCTTCCGAACCTCGCTCCCGAGCCTCATAAACATGACAAACACGAGCGGCCTTCAGGTGTCGCTCTGATGTGGAGCGACCAAGGGGTCTCGCTGTGGACGTCGCTCCAGCCTCTCCTCGACCAATACTCACTCCAAACTCCTCTTTTTGGAGTCCAAACTCCACCAAACCACTTCCAAGGCTCCAAGGGTAGTCTCATCACCTGATAAATGCAAGTGAATGCAAAATGCAACCTAAATGTACCTAAACCTAATTTATATGCTCAACATGAACAAAAATGCAAGGTTAAGACTAAGTAAATATGCAACATATCAAGCTTCAGCACATAAGATGAATAAAAAAGGAGATAAGGGATCACCCTGACGTATTCCTCTTTCAGGTTTAATAAAACCTTGAGATCTTCCATTTAGTAACACTGAAAAAGTGACAGTGGTAATACATGACATAATCCAAACGACCCATTTCCGATCAAAACCGATTTTTTCAAGTAAAACTTCAAGAAAATTCCATTCAACCCGATCATAGGCTTTTGACATATCTGTCTTAATAGCCATACTTTCTCTACCAATTTTATCATTAGTGCGTAGACCATGTACCAATTCATGTGCTATAATGACATTGTCTGTAATAAGCCTGCCTCCAACAAAAGCCCCTTGAGTTTCCGAAATTATGATAGGCAAAATTGCTTTCATTCGATCGCAAAGAATACGAGAAATGAATTTGTATTGTACCGTGCAAAGACTAATGGGACGCATATCCTTCATCTCCATAGGTTGTAAATTTTTGGTGACAAAAATAATTGTGTATGATTCCATCCAGCGGGGAGGATGACTGTTTTAAAAAAGCCTTGAACATCACCAATAATTTTTTGTCCCACAATGTGCCAATATTTTTGGTAAAAATAACCAGTGAGTCCGTCTTCGCCAGGGGCACAACTACTTTTAATACCAAAAGCTGTTTTTTTTTATTTCATCAGGTGATACCTCTCTAATTAACATTGTGTTCATCTCGGAGGTGACCCTAGTATCGAACCTTCAAACAGAGTTTCCAAATCTCCGGGGTTGGAACTTGTAAACAGATCTCTAAAATATTCAGTAGCAATATACCCTTTAGACCCTTCAGAATAATGTTCATTTCCAAAAATATCTTTAAGCATAAAATATGAAAGTAATAACTATCAAATCATTATAAATATAAAATATGAAAATAACAGCAAATAGAAATTCGCTAAACATTCTTATATCGTCTAAATTAAGAAGTGTGTCTTCCAAAATTTCAGGTGTACATCATTATTAATAAGATGAACAAACAACATAATACTAACCACTAACACATATTTTAACAACAACGACAAAAGACAAATATTAACAACAACAATAAAAAGTATAAAATATGTTTCCGATTCTGCGCTTGCGCGGAGCTATCCTAGGGCTATCCTACTAGTCAAGTTAATAAAAGTACAGAAGTTTTAATCCCTTAGAAAAATACATTACAGTATTACCAAAGTAAAGTCAATTAAAAAATGAATCTTCCAAACCAACAATAAAAAATCTCTTTTCTCCATTTTTTCCTTTCATACCATATACTGTATACGATTATCTCTCTATAAGTTGTAGAGAGATTGAAAAGAGAGTGGGACCATACAACCACATCCTCCAACGAAGAGAGAAAGGTAGAAGCTGCTGATGATCATGGAGATTCTTTTTTGATCCATGAATCGTCTCTGGTTCACATACTTGTCCAAATAAATAAATAAAAAACGATCTGTCGGTTTCTTAGGAAAAATAGAAAAAGAAAAATAGAAAAGCTCTGCTTTCTCTTTCTTTCGTCTTTTTCTAGATCGCATTTTCTTAACTGTCGTTTCTTTTCACAAATCTCGCCAAAGTCTGTGACATCTCATCGAATTTAGCAAACCCCTTTGTCTCAAAATCTAATCCTTGCGTCAATCTCGGTCCAAAAAAAATCAAACCTTTTATCTGTTTCCTCTGTTTTGTTCTCTCCCTTTTTGCTCTGTTTTTTCTATTGATTGTGATCATTACAATGGGCTGTGCAAGCTCCAAACACAAAAAGCGTTGCAGTTATTGTCGAGGAGGATTATCTCCGGTGGTTGTGCCTCGAAGCTACTCAATGCACGTTCATCATCCTGCGCAGCACACCGGAGATAGCCATCACACGGTGGCTCTCACTTCCTCCACCGTCGGATCTCTCAGCCTCTGTGACTCTCCTTTCAGGCATATCGACAAACACTTGGAAGGCATCAAAGAAAAGCGAGTCGTCTCCGAGGAGAAGCTAAACTCCGGTGATGGGTTTCATCAGAATGGTCTCGAGGTTAAAGAAACGGAGAAGCTGCAGTCTAATCTTACGGAAGCCAAGGTTTGGTCGAGTATGATGAACGAGAGGATCCCTAAGGTTGTGCCTAAAACTCCAATTGTGACGCCTCCGGGTGAGCCAGAGACGATCAATACGTGGGAGTTGATGGAAGGGCTTGAAGATGCGAGTCCTTTACGACCACCTGATCATTTGAGAAGCTTCTCGTTTGATGTTGTTCGTGTCCATAGTTGTGATGAAGATGACGATGGTCCGGCTCCGTTTGATCGACCTAAGTCAAGGTTTCGTGATTTGGATCGTCCTGAGATCGTGTCCTCTTTCAGGAAATCGCTTCAAGAACTCCCAGATGATCATCCTTTTCATATCCGGATCCCTAATGTGGATCCAATATTTGTGTCTTCAGATGAGGAAGAAGCAGATTGTATAAGAAGGCCAGACAAGGTGATAGTTTACTTCACAAGTCTTAGAGGTATAAGGAAGACATACGAAGACAGTTTTAATGTCAGGGTGATACTAAAGAGCTTAGGAGTTCGTCTGGACGAGCGCGATGTATCGATGCATTCGGGTTTTAAAGATGAGCTTAAGGAGCTGTTGAGGGATGAGTTCAACAATGGCGTTGGAATAACCTTGCCTAGAGTTTTCTTGGGGAACAAGTATCTTGGCGGAGTGGAAGAGATAAAGAAGTTGAATGAAAATGGGACACTCGAAAAGGTTGTAGCAGGCTGCAAAAGAGTCGAAGATGGCTTAACGGGCTGTGGGACTGAATGTGAGGCTTGTGGAGATGTTCGGTTTGTGCCGTGTGAGACATGTTCAGGAAGCTGCAAAATATACAATGAGAGTGAAGATGAAAACGAAGAAGGAACAGAAGGTACAGAAGAAACAGAGTATGGGTTCCAAAGATGTCCAGATTGTAATGAGAATGGGTTGGTCAGATGTCCTATTTGTTGTGATTAAGTCCTTTTGAACAGACAAAATCAATTTCATCTTTTTATTTGGGGTTATTAAATTTCATATTCTGGGATTTTTGGTGTGAGGCTCGAGAATGTATTCTTGTTGTACAGTGATGTTCTCATTGATTGTGAAAAGAGACTTTAGGTTAAAAATAAAATGTGTTCATATTTTGATAATTTTGGGGATGGGATGTGGTTGTTATTCCAAAGCAAAACCAAAATCAAACATCAAATATATTCTTCAATTTGGTTATTGATGTTTTATAATTTCTGTATTTCATATGAATTCTGATCAATATTTGAATTAGTTTCACGAAATTAAACAAATGAAACAAAACAAACCTATGAAAATGATTTTAGACAATTTTTTAAGTTCTATCATCTTTTAATGTATGTTTTTGGTCAAAATAAACATTTTTGAAATTTATGGAGCATTAAGCAGTATAATTTCTTGATTTTGTGTTGATCTCATTTATGTGATAATTTGACATCTTTCTTTGACTAGACTGTAAAATAATATTTGTTCATTCTATATAGTTCATGTAACATAGACTAGATTGTAAATTGATATTTGTTCAGACTCCATGGTTCATGTACCTTTGACTAGATTGTAAATTAAGGCAAGTTGAGACTGTAGAGTTGGTGGAGAGGAAAAATCAGCTAATAAAATCTGACCTCTGAAGAAAGGTGGTGTGTGAATCAAACAAAACACTAGAAATTGAACACGGGTCAACATCACTTTTCTCTTTAAGCATGTTCCATTCATTATCGGCTCATTAGTTAATTTCAAGCAAATAAAGCAATGAATCAAGTTGTCAAACATCTAGATAATTATTGATTTAAAGCTCTACTTCTACTTTCTTTACCGAAGAGTCTTAAGCGGAGTGTTGTAAAATAAACATTAGACTAACTTTAAATAGTAATTAACTTAGTTTCTAATTCTGAAAGAAGAAGTCGAAGATAATTAAAACTGTAAAAATTTATCTGTTCATATATTTGAATGATTTAAAGAAACTATACATAATTTTTTTCAACAATTGAATAATAATTACATGCTCCACGATGAAATTCTTTCCGAAACATTCGATGAAGTTATCCCGAAACATTTGGATCAACGAATAGTTCTGTATGTATGACATCATTGATGGATATGTTCTCCGTAATAGACGACTACAACAAACGATTTTGCCTGCAATATTATGAAACTTTTAATAAATTTTGCATCCTATACTTTATAAAAAATTACAGCATCTGAGATTTGAACCACATAACTGAGTGTAGAAACCTTTAAACATTAACAACGAGACTACATTATTTCCCAAATCTATACCGAAATTATAAATCCAAATAAAACTTACAGATTCTCCATTATTTTTTTTTTGTCAATGGATTTTTTTCTGGAAATCCTAATTTTTTTATGATTTCAAAATTGAACATATAGGTTTTAGTTAGTATTTAAAATATGAAAGTTTTCATTCAGCTGCCTTTAAGGTTTTGTATACTTATGAGTAAATCTTTTCAAATTCAACCAAATCCATTATAAAATCGAAGTTATTAATATATACATATTATGATTTAGTAATGCATGAATTATATTATATTTTCTGAATCATAAAACTGAAAACACATCAACATAGGAGTTATCAATGAATCCATTATGTGATACATATTTATTTGTATGTGAGAGCAAGTAACTTAATAGACATATTGTATTTGATACATATTTCATATTTTGGGCTTTGCAAAAGACTGGGTCCAATGACTTTTTGAGTTTTTTTTTTCTTTGTGTTGTTCATTGGGCTCTGAGATTCCATCATCTCTTCACTCACTCGCTCGCAGTCGCAGCTCTCTCGTGTTGTTGTTGTTGTTCATATCAAAGAGGATGGACACAAAGGATTATCATCTCGTTCCTTTCCAATTGCAAACCACAATCGAAAGTTCCTCACTCGATCTCCATCGGAAGCTCAAGTTTCATCTCTTCTCCAAAGTTCCGAAGACGCCGTTTTTAACACCCTCTGAAGCTTATCCTCGACGAATCCATCTCCATGTAAGGCCTTTTTACTAAATGCATTCACTTGGTTCTCTAAATTGTGTCTGTTTCGAAAACCCTCTAGCATCGCATCTATCAATGTGGTTAAGTCTTGTCTTGGTGGACACTGTTTTGTAAATGAATTGCCTTCAAACAAGTTTTGTAAACAACAAACTCTGTTTGAATATTTGGTGGGACTGAGAGAAGCAATGTTCCATGAGCTTGTATAGGCGACTCGTTCTTTCTAATCATTTACGTGTCTTGGAGCAGGTTCTTGGAATGAGAACAATACAGATGACAAGAAAATCAAAAGTTGCTGCAAGCTTTGACTTTTAAATTAAAATCTATGGTGAGTTACTTGGATTTTATAATACATTCATGGATTTCTGTTCCTCTTAGTGTCGAATGTTGCCGTCATCTCTCTTCTTATTTGCATTGTGTTTTGGAATCTGATAAAGTAGGGTTTGGGGCATGTGGTGTGGTCCCTCTAGTGATTGGTTTTGTCAACTTTTTTTTTTAGTAAACAACGACTCTTTAACTATTATTACCACTCCCTTTTTTTTGACAAGTCTTCTTCTCTGAGTTTCACATGGCTTCTTCTTCTTTTTCCCCAGAGATCAACTGTCCACACGATGTTTTCCTCAGCTTCAGAGTAGAAGACGTACGCATCAGATTCCGTTCTCACTTTCTCAAGGAGCTCAACCGCAAGTTAATCACTCCCTTCAAGGACGATGCGATTGCAAAAGGCAGTTCCATTGGCCCTGAGCTGGTTAACGCCATTAGAGGGTCGAGGATCTCCGTTGTAGCGTTTTCTGATAACTACGCAAGTTCGAGCTGGTGCTTGGATGAGCTGGTGGAGATCATGAAGTGCAGGGAAGAAGTGGGCCAAATTGTGATACCAATTTTCTATGATGTGGATCCTTCTCATGTCAAGAAACAAACTGAAGCCTTTGGAGTGATCTTTGAGAAGACTTGCCAAGGCAGAAAGGAGGAAGAGACACTTCGGTGGCGGCGAGCATTGACTCAAGCAGCAACAATAGCCGGAGAGGATTCTCGGAACTGGTTCGTTCTTAATTTTGATTTCTTTTTTTGAGTTCCTTCTTCACTTAGTGTATCTACTTTCTGTTTGTGTTAGGTCTGATGAAGCAAAGATGATTGAGAAAATCGTCAATGATGTTTCGAACAAACTTTGTTCAACATCATCCAATGATTTTGACGACTTTGTTGGAATCGAAGCTCACATGAAAAACATGAATACGTTGTTGAAGTTGGAGTCAGAGAAGGTGATAATGGTAGGGATTTGGGGTCCATCTGGAGTTGGTAAGACTACCATAGGACGAGCTCTCTTTACTTAACTCTCCTGTCAGTTCCAAGGAAGCATTTTTATTGATAAGACTAAGGAGATGTATTCTAGGGCCACCTCTTACGACTACAACACCACGTTGGACGTGCAAGCACGGGAAAAGGGTCTATTCCGACCCAAACAATTTCAATCGTGCCAAATACAACCCGAACAAACATTCAGAGCCAAATACGACCTGAACTATGTTATAATTCAAAAATACTACCTGAACTTTTTAAAACGTGCCTAAATCTACATTGACCGTAACAGAAGTTAGTTAACCGTTAAAATGATAAAACGACGTCGGGAAAATGGCATATTTCTACCCAAACAATTTCAATCGTGCCAAATACAACCCGAACAAACATCAAGTGCCAAATACGACATGAACTACGTTATAATGCAAAAATACTACCTGAATTTTTTAAAACGTGCCTAAACCTACATTGACTGTAATAGAAGTTAGTCAACTGTTCAAATGATAAAACGACGTCGTTTTGATTCTATTATTAGAAAATGAACATTCCGGGACTCGAATCCGGGCTTTGTCACTATTTAAAACATACACATCAACCACTAGACTAAAACAATTTTTTTAAAAAAATACTACAAATTTGCAATTATATATGCTACTATACTTTTTAATCTTCTCTAATTAAAACTTTTGTTATTATTATTTTTGATTCTTATAAATATATTAAAATATTTTGTAATTATTATATCTTCAATAAACTTATATTATACTAAAATATAAATAATAAAATATTTATAATCATACAAAATTAAATATATTTCATGTTTTCCAACTATTTACAAAATGTCCATATATAAATTATTTTAAAAATAAAAATTAAGGGTAATTTATTTTATTTTGGTAAAGTATATTCAGCTTATATTAATTTTAAGAAGCAAAAGAAATTAACATTCAATTTTTTAAATAATTTATATATGGACATTTTGTAAATAGTTTCAAAACATGAAATATATTTAATTTTGTATAATTATAAATATTTTTTTATATTTTAGTATTTATAAGTTTATTAAATATGTTAATATATTAATAATAATCAAATATAATAATAACCAAAGTTTTAATTAGAGAAGATGAAAAAGTATATATAATTGCTAATTTGTAGTATTATTTAAAACAAATTGCTTTAGTCTAGTGGTTGATATGTCTGTTTTAAATAGTGGCAAGGCCCGGGTTTGAATCCTGGAATTTTTCGTATTTTTAAAAAAATAATGGAATCGAAACGACGTCGTTTTATCATTTTAACGGTTGACTAACTTCTGTTACGGTTAATGTAGGTTTAGGCACGTTTTAAAAAGTTTAGGTAGTATTTTTGAATTATAACGTAGTTCAGGTCGTATTTGGCACTAGATGTTTATTCGGGTTGTATTTGGCACGATTGAAATTGTTTGGGTAGGAATAGGCCCTTTTTCCGACATCGGTTTATCCTTTTAACGGTTGACTAACTTCTGTTACGGTTAATGTAGGTCTAGGCACGTTTTAAAAAGTTCAGGTAGTATTTTTGAATTATAACATAGTTCAGGTCGTATTTGGCACTGGATGTTTGTTCGGGTTGTATTTGGCACGATTGAAATTGTTTGGGTAGGAATAGGCTCTTTTCCCGAAACTGGAGGAATAGGTGATAATGGTAGGGATTTGGGGTCCATCTGGAGTTGGTAAGACTACCATAGGACGAGCTCTCTTTCCTTAACTCTCCTGTCAGTTCCAAGGAAGCATTTTTATTGATAAGACTAAGGAGATGTATTCTAGGGCCACCTCTTACGACTACAACACCACGTTGGACGTCCAAGCACAGTTTCTGTCTGAAAATT